AACTTCCAAAAAGCCCTTGAAAGGGCACGATACCCATGCCGGGCAGTGCTGTCCACTCCTTGTTCCCTGTGCACTTGCCATAGGAAAGAGGAAAGTTGTGACCCCAAGATTGAGCCCCAGTCTCTCTGCAGGGTGAGCTGTGGGGCTCTGGTGTGAAGATCTGCTGGAGGCTGGCCAAGCAGTTAGAGCAAAAGCATTAATAACCAAGGGCAGAGAACCTTGCCGCCCTGGGGAAGGAGGTACTGGCACCACAGCGGTCATTGCAGAGGAAGAGATGAACCAGCCTCAGAAGTGAACTGACTTCCCGTCTGCCCTGCAACTATTTTGAATCTCGCTGCTTGTTAACTTCTCCTGAGTGGAGCCGTAAAGCCTGCTTCTAAGCACAGCACAAAGCAGAGAGAATCAAAAGGACAGGCCTGAGGATACCCTGGCTGGTTTCCCCGGCAACGACTCTTCCTCCTGGATTCTCAGCATTTGTTTGAAAAGCAAAAGGCATGTTCTGCGCGGAGAGCATCCGGCTGGGAGCTGACCTCTGCGCATCCGCATCCATGTCATCCACTCGTGAGGTGGCCTTTCACCTCAGGGAGCTCTGACATCCACAGCTAACCGAAATGGAAGAGAAGTGATGCTGAAAACAATTGTGTGGTTATCTGGGAGTCAGTGACCCCACCAAGAGTCAGCTGGTGGCTTTTTTTATTCTTGACAAACATTTATTGATCACTTAGCACATATTGGTTGAATAAGTCACAGTCCCTGTCCTCTGGCAAACGAAATGCCTGCATTGATGGAGCACTCGATCAGTAAGTATTTAGTGAGCAGCTACGATATACACTAGGCTCTGCTCTAGGAAATGAGGAGAAATGCTAATACGGCATGTAAGGTCCCTGGTGGCAGAATGGCTTGCAAGCAACTGAAAACATAAAGGTTGGCTGTTCAAATCCACTTAGTGGCACTGGAAGAAAAAAAGGCCTGAGGGTCTATTTCCATTAAAATTATGGACAAAAGAAAAAAATAATAGGAAACAGTTCTGCTCTGTAACACACGGAGTTGTAGGAATCTCAGACTACTCAAAGACAACTAGGAACAACAAATATACAGTAATACAGAGCCTTGAGTCGTACAAATGGCTATTGATATAATGGCTGCTGATTGAGAAGTTGGTTCCAACTAAAGGATACTGAACACAATATACAAGAAGACCTTCAAGAAGACAGATTAATGCTCTGGAGACCTAGTGCATAGGGAGCTGTCTCTGAAGAGTTGGGCTCACCAGGAGCTTCTTGGAAGAAAGATGAACAATCTCTTTCTTTTGTATTTTTTTAAAATAATTCAAAAACTTTATTGATCTATAACCTGATTAGAAATGCCAGATGAGAATCAATATTGTATGGAAAGTTGTACAGATTTTTCCTACCTAGAAAACTTTACATCTGGACCATATACATTTTATCCATCTGAAAACTTTTCTGCATCCACTGTTAATACGGAATGCTTGGCAATCTTGTCTTTTTTTTTTTAACCATCAGAGCACAATTCACAGTATGAATACATTCCCAGTAAGTCTATCCACCCCAAACCATGCCAGATTGTTATTTAATATATTGAACATTAAATTTTGTACAGAGAGTAACATCTACATCAAGCTCCACTCCCCGCCACCCCCCAGGAATAAAGAAAAAGAGTTACAGCAACCTAGATTTATTTTGCAATGATTCAAGTTTCAGTCCATGAAAGATCATTAGATTTAATGGCTCGTCTTTAAAAACTCAAAGAGAAGCATGTTACAGGTCAGTAGTGATATTGTCTACCTTTGTTGTTGTCCTGTTGTTGATCCTGACTAAGGGTCAGCTATGAGTCGGTTCCCACTGCATAACAATGAGGTTTCTTTCTTTGGTTGTTTTATCCATTAAGAAGAAAAAGAGTTAATATGTGCATATTCCCTCTCTTCCCCCCTACCCTCCCTAGAGGGTCTCCTAGAACACATTCCCCTACAGAATTTCCCAGTCCTGGGGGGAAAGTGGCTACAACTTCATGAAACACGAAAAAAGACCCACTGCCTGTGTCCTGGGTCCTTCTTATCCCTATCACATCCTGGTCACCTTTGGTCCCCCCCCTTTGGCTTTCCCTCTCCAGTCTCTAGTCCACTCTTCCTCTGGTTCCTTCTTCCAGTCACCCCTCCCTGCCTTCATTCCTCCCCACCCCCAGCCCCAAGTTAGCCACCAACACCCTAAAGTATGTGAATGACTTCACTTCTCTGCAAAAGTGGCTGTTTCTGCATGGATCTTGATCACCACCAGAAATAGAAACCGTTCTCCTGACTATAAAGTACAATCAAACTTAGCAGGCTTACAGGATAATCACTGAAAAGCATAGATGTAGTCAATAGTTCTGGTTTTGAAATGTGGTAGGTTATATAAACACAAACGTCCGTTGGGTGTATGAGGGGTTGTTGCAGTCACATACCCTCTAGTTGAAACTAACTTGTGGATGATCCTTCATCTTGTTTCCAGAGGCTGTAACTCACAGGGGATGGGTGGGGGCGGGAGGGGGGAGATTGCCTATCTTTCTCCAGTGGAGCAGTTGGTGGATTTGAACGGCATGCTTTTCAGATGACAGTGCAGCCCCTTACCACTAGGCTAACAGTGTTGTGTGTGAGTTGGAACCAACCCATAACTCACTTTCGGGGGGAGGGGTCAGAGGTTAATCGCTGGGGAGATTGTCCATCCTTCTTCCATGAAGCGACTGGTGGCCTGGAACCTCGTGCCTTTCAGATTGCAGCACAGCTTCTTGCCATTAGGCCACCAGAGCTCCAGAGAGGGTGTTAAATGCATCACCCATGATCTCCAGTGGACAGAGATGAATAAGAATTCCTACTTGAGGGAAAACTTTCCAAATCTACCATCCAGTATGGGGTGGTGCGGCGGCTGGGCCCTGCTCTCCTGTGCACCTCCTTTGCTGTCTGTGGAATGGGCCTGATCACGCCTGTGCAGATCTTCGGGGTTGAGGCTGGGAACTCAATCCCAAAGGGCTTCAGAGCCTAGATGAGTGAAGATTAAGACCAAGAACTGGCCAGAGGTTGCACTGGTCTGGAGTCTAGGAGAAGACCCAGCTTGGAAGTGTGGGCGAGTGGTGGAGTTTGGGTCTTGATCTCTAAATTCAGGAGTGGAGTCCTACTGGGGATGGGTTGTCCACGGGTCTGAGCGCAGGAGAACATAAGGTAGGTGGGAGATGGGATGCTCATGCCATCAGCAAGTCAAAGTTAACGTATGCGTCATGCTCTCTAAGACACTCGATGGCGCCACTTGGTGGCAACAAGACACTGGCACCCCTGGCAGGATCTCAAGGAAAATGCAGCTCTTCTCCCTGAAGCTGGGTTCCTCTGATCTAAGCCAGAGAGTGTCAACCCTGTTTTACAACCACAAGAACACCCACAGCCAGCTGGGATCAACGTGCTCCCTGACACTTGCTGGTAAAACCTTGGATAGCTTCACGGTTTCAAGGAGATGGGGAATGCGAGTTGACCCCTTCTCCGTCTCCCTCTCTTGTGGGAGTCTAGAGATCATCTCTTGTCTAGAGATGGGATCTGTCCCGATGGATGCGCAGAGATGGACATAGGGACATAGAGCCCTTCTCGGAAATAGAGCTCAGCCTCCAAATGTTTCCCTAATATTCTTTCCAGCCCAAGGGTACCCAAAGATGATTAAGCCCAGGCAGTTCCTCCTGGAAGAGTGAGAGAAGCAAGTGTCTGGGACGGAGGTGGGGGGACAGGCCATCCAGGCACCCCATGTCCCTCCAGGAACCACCCCAATCGGTTGTCGCCCCAGTGGCCGCCGGCTGAGCACGTGTTGCTGCCGGTTTGCGGTTTGCGTCAGCGCTGGGTAAACAGATGACTGGACAGCAGCGCCAGGCGGGGCTATTTAAGAGGCTCCCGGCTGCCCACCTTAAACTTGGCCAGGCCGCCGGGAGCTGTGGTGGGAACGCACAGCCATCCGCGCGTCCTAACCCAAAGGTAGGTTCGCCCTCTCGCGAATGCAATCCTCGGTTTGGTGCCATTTATCTTCCCGGTTTTCGGGTCTCCTCTCTGCGCGCTCGAACGGCGTTCCTTAAACTGATGGAACAATGCAAACCGCTGTAAACCGGTGTGTGAAGCCGCTTCCGAGGCGCACAGGCGCGCTTCTCTTCCTTTTAGACGCGCCACGCTGAGAAATCCTTCCGCAAAGGATCAGCATTTACTTTAGGATCCGCTAGATTTTACTCAGAGGCGCTGTCTACTTGGCAGTCCTTTCAAATGAAATGTCAGGAAGCTTTTAAGATTCAAACTCGTTTTGTAGATACTGCGGGGGGGGGGGGGTAGGAATTGGCACTTTGGGAATAGAAACAAGGGTATTTTATCTGCTCGTGAATACAGGACGCAGGAGCACACTTTGCCAGAGACTGAGAGCTGAGCGCAGATTACTTGTTTTACAGATGCTATGTTTGGCTAGGGATTCAAGACCAATTTCCCTGCACATTTTGAAGAAACTTTGCAAATACTGCTTTTTTTGTCTATCGCTCCCCCATTTTTAACTGTGTTTCCCTTTCCTTTCCACATATTTCCTCACCGAAGACTTCTTAGTTATCTGGAGATGAGCTGCTGGTCTTCGAAGATCTTATTTCCTCTTTAGAAAAGTTCCTACATTTCCTTGATTCTTTGTTTTCCAGTTAAAACACAGATGCTCTACCAACATTCCTCTGGCCCTCATGGAAAGCAGTTATGTGTGGCGGAAGACAGGGTCTCCGAGTTTTGCGCACCGGGCGTGGTTTACCCAAACACGAGCTGCATGCGCTCTGACGCACAGGCAGTGGTCTGCGCTTTGCGAGCTCTCTCATTTGTATAACGCTGGCTCGCCCCCGGCGCCCAGGCTTTGCGCTTCTGTTTCGGTGGTGCCCCGACTCCCAGCAGGAGCCCAAGGAGACCCCCCTTTTCCCCCATAACTGCTTCCCTTTTGCTCTCCACAGCCATGAACAGCTGCGTGCGTCTGTGCGTCTTGATGGTGGTACTGGTGGCGGGCGCCCTGGCGCAGCTCGCCCCTCCTGCGGCTCCAGAGGGGCCTCGAGGGCAGTGGGCAGAGGAGGCGCCCCGGAGGCCACTGAGGGGGCCGCA